AGCGTGTAACCGTTTAGTTGCAAGGAATGATGGTTCACATTTCGGGATCTTGAGACCAGGCTTGAGGTTGCGGTCAATGTCCATGAGGCCCCATTTGTCTTCCCAATTCTTGCCTGCTGTATTGTATCTGATCTTCCAAGGCTCGTCAAAAGCAGAGAACCTGTGGCTTGGTCAGCATGGAAACTTGGTGGCAAGGGGAGACGGGACTCGGCTAGACAGGACTCGGCTTACCAAAAGTACTCGGTCTCGTTCTTCATGCTAGGACAGATCCAGTCCTCCATAAATCGGTTCATCTCATCGATTCCGGCGACAGAGCCCCCAGTACACGTCTCGGCACCACCACAGTTGGTTCCCCCTTCAGACGGCCAGCCAACTTCGGCAATGACCTGCTTGATGTTTTGGTTGCTTGCTGTGAGAGCGACATCGTTGTTTTGCCAGAAACTCCAAGTCCAGCCCGCTGCTTGGCTCACATCGACACCCGCGAAAAAGGGATGTACGTTGGACATGACGTAGTCGACCTTGGTGGCCATGTCGGCCGTCCAGTTGTCACCGAGATCGGCCATGGCGACGGGAAGCTTGCATTTGTGGTCTGTAATGTTTTGGCGGAAATCGGTAATGTGGCCGATGAGCTCGGTCGGGGTAAGATCCTTGCGGTAGAGCACCTCATTACCGATGATGATGCCCTTGAAGTAGTCGCAGCCATAGTCATCGAGAATGGTCCAGGTCTGGGAAATTTGTCGCTCTGTGGTGGTGTCGTTGCTGTCGAGCCAAACGCCCAGCCAGATCTTCATCGTGTCCTTGATCTCCAGCCGATCGATGGCGTGAATGACCATCTGCGTCTGGTTGCAGTCGGTTCCGTACAGGCGGACGGCGTTGGTTAGTTGCGACATGACGGCCATGTCTCGCGTAATGTTGTTTTGCGACGGCCCAACCTTGAGGCAATCGGGGTACTGTACGTTGAGTGGTGTGTAGTCCATGCCAGGGAAGACCTTGTGCAGGTCTGGGTTGTTCATCAGCGCCTGGATCTCGGCAGAGTTCTTGCCGAGATCGTCCTTGTTGTCCTTGACAATGTCTCCAGCCGATACACCACTTGAGTTGCGATCGCTGTGACCACCGCCATTGTTCTTGAGCATCGCACCCAGCACACCACCGAGAATGGCGGCCAGCAGAATGACGGTGATGATGGCAATGGCGATCCACATTCGCTTCTTGCGTTTTCTCTTGTCATCTTCTACTTTCCAACTCGACTTCTCCGCCATGAGTTCTTGGCTTCCATTGACCATGGGCACAACGTCGTACTTGGCATTGCCATCTCTCGTTGCCGCGTAGGCAGCCGTGCCAGCAGCCGCTCCCGCTGCGCCTGCGCCCACGACGCCGCTGTTGATCGACGAGCCTGGGGATCCACTGCTGCCGTCTTGCGAAGTTCCTCGCGAAGCCCCTCTCGGGGCAGCAAAGGGTGCAAAGGAGCGGCGTTTGTTCGATGTCGAGTGAAGCGGTTCAGGGCCCATGCCCCAGTCGTCGTCATCGGCTACGTCGTTGGGGTTGATCATGCCCATTTGCGGGGCGAGGTTCTGTGCAGACGACGAGTAGCGCGTGTAGGGCGTGTCGGAGTAGGGTATGCGGTGCGGCGGCGATACTGGCATGCTGTGCATGGAGCTGCTACTCGAGTACAAGCCCGCGGTACCTGCTGCGAGCGGTGCGCCTGATCCGTTAGACTGCTGCGAGTGCAGTGTTCGTGGCAACATGGGCTGGTCGTAGGCATTGTGGTCACTGAAAGGCGTCGAGTTTTGGCTGCGCTCTGGTACGCCTATGGGTCGACGGTCTGGACTGGCGATGCCGTCGGCTGCATGGTCTGAGACAGGTGGGAGACCGGGGGTGGAGTAGTCAGAATAGTTGTTTGGGTCTGGGTGCTGGCGTTGGCTTTGCATGTTCACGGGCAGACGATGCGCTGGAGGCGGTGGTGGGAAGTCGTCGGTGGTAGGGTCCATGTGCGAGCCATTGCCAGTGGGATCCCACTGTGCATGTGGCTGCTGGTAGGCCATTGCGAATTGCGACGAGGGTGTGTGGGTCAATCAGCTGTCGCAGTCGCAGAGCAGGCTGCAGACGGGGAAAGCTACGAGCCTTGTTAGCAGTTAACACTAGAGTCTTAGGCGTAC